GCAAGGACAGCGTTGAGAATTTTGAGGTGCTTGAGCTTGTCATAGTCAAGTTCATCTTTAACTGCATTCAATTCTTGATACAACTTCTCTTGCCATTCCGGATATTGAGTTAGGTAAAAAATGCAATGGTCAAAAGTAGCGTTGCTCGTGTCATAGCCAGCTAAAAAATATTAAGTTTTATTATGGGCAAAAAATGCAGAAAAATCTTACCGATAAAAAATAGTATTCCTTGACCTGACAATTCGTCTGGACTTATGCCTTTCAAAGCTTTAGTGTGTGGGTTGTCGGCAAGATTACCAAATTTGTTTTCACCAGACTCCTCAATCATCAAGCCCAGAAGATCAGATTTTTCTATTATAATAAATTTAGTTAAAATTATTTAGACTTCAAATGAAAACTTACGTTTTCCATCTGCTTCCTTTAATCTCTTTTCAACAATTTCAAACGTCAACTTGTCAAAGTAATTAACAGCATCTTTGTCAAAGATATCCAATTTGAACCATTTGGCCACTTTCGGGAACAGGAAACAGATAATCTGAGTAATGGTGACGTCGACATTCAGAATTTTTGTGGCGTTTACCACAACTGGGTGATTCGGATCTCGAACAGAATCGATTTCAACACCGTAACCTATTTAAAAAATTGTAAGAAATACAACACATTTGCATAAAAATATGTCAAATTTACCACAACAAGCAATCACGTCCATGGCAAACCCGTTAATGTACCTAAAATACAATAAAAATTTTGTAAAACAGAAGATAAAAAAGATCTTACAAAAATTTACTTTTTTAAATCAAAAGTTTTGCCTGTATCAGCTTCTTGATGAAGATGCTCGATGAAATTCTCGGCAATTCTACAAAACCAAAAAAGTTTTAAATCATAATTATAATCATTTATGTTTAAAAAGTAATACCTTTCAATTGGGCTCATCATTCGCTTCAACTTTCCACTTGTAAAAGCGGGCGTCACAATGCTTCTAATTCGTTTCCAATCTATATAAAGGAAAAAAGTTTATAAATGTTTTAAAAAGTATTATCTTTACCTTCATTGGCTTGCATAAAGAAAAGGGATTTACGAATATTCGTCGTTCCTTGGTCCAATTGACTGTTGCGAATCGGAAACTTGTGCATCGCCTTTGTCGACAGTTCACGAACAATTTTGGCGTCATTGACAATCAGTATTTTGTTGAATGGTCCATAGGCTCCATAGATTTTGTGTGGTGCAAATCGGCGAGCCGTATCTTCGGCAAACTCAAAAAATGGTTTCTTTGCCCAGCCTGTGGTAATGAATCGATGCGATGGCAGGCCTTGACGTTGCCAGAAGGTAAAGTGCTTGTAAAAGAAACTAAACAAAAAAATGTAAACAATAATGCATTTATGAGACAACAAGGCAAAAAACTTACTCAAAAATTAAAATGAAAAACAGCCCAACAGCCGTTAGGCTCATTAAAGTTTGCGTTTCCATGTCTTTAAAAGTTTTAAAATTAAAATTAAATGTTTTTTTTAGTTTTGTTTTGAAGTAAGCCAGATCGTTTTCAAACATTTAAATTATTGACTATTGGCTTATAAATCTCTTACTTTTATGTCATTTGGCCTGTCATCAAAAGCAGCCAATGAAATGTCATTTCTTATCGAGAAAAAAAGGAAAATACTGATCACATTACTAATTTACAAAAAATAACATGCACTACGATCATTTGTACAGTTGTGCGCTAGTTGTACTGCTAGCAAAGATAACCAACAAGATATAAGAATTACAGTAACAAGTGCAAGTGACATCTGAACGGTCACATTTAGTTTACATTGAGTACATTTTTATTTACAAAAAAATGTTTTGTTCCCAAAATTTGGACTTTAGTGTTGTTTTTCAGTTTAGACATAGTAAAGACTTCCTTGCTTTTGTTTTGAAAACAATTATTTCAAAACAATCTCAAAATGTCACCAAAATGACCCCAATAAACAAAATTTAAGTTGAACCACAGAAATCAAAAAGACAAACCTATTACAAATATTTCCCCTAAAAGTTTAAGTCATTTCATCATTTTGCCTTCTACTGTCCTTACAATGATACCATACTGACGTTATCCACGATATCTATTTTGGAGTAAAAATGATATCGCGTACAAATGTACAGAAAATAAAGGATGCTACTTTTTGATCCAAAACTGTCGGAGGTGCAATATCACTATCTTTTGACAACCTTCGTACATCGTTTTT